AATCAGCCCCTATTCCTTCTGAGTCCAACCCTGTGCCAAGCAGAGGAGATCCCTGTGGTCCTGTTTCCCCAGGGACCTGGGCTTTTCAGTCAATGCAAAGGGAAGTGAACTGACTTTCTAGGTGCTGGCCTGCTCTCGCTGGGAGCTTCTGAGGTTGGAAAACTGAGGTCTGGCATTTCACAGCAGCCCAAAGGAATCAGATGCCAAAGAGCAGGGAGGCAGCAGGGTTCAGCCAGCAAGCGGGGTCAGGACACACATGGTTGTGGGCTCACAGGGTGGCTCATCTCCCCACACTGCTCGGCCTGGAGTGAGTTTGGGAAAATACAAGGTGAAACATTGTCCTGAATATATAAATAAAACACAAAATTAGAGTCTGCCTTCCATGGCACAAGGGGACGCTGCGAGGGGCTGGGGGATGCGAGGAGGACACTGTTGTGTGAGTACATCTGGGCTCTGTGCAAATTCCGCTGTGCACTGCAGTGGTGGAAGGGAAAGGGAAGGAAAACCTTCCACGTGGGCAAAAACACGGGATTGTCTGTTTTGCCTCTAGTGTCTTATCTGAGTGGCCAGCTGGGTCAAGATACAATCTGCCTTTGACCTGGATAAAAGCTTGCTTAGAGTGAACAATATCCAAACAGCTCTACCCTTCCTCATCCCTGTCCTGTAGCTACCTTGTTGTTAAATTGCAAACGTAGGCACCAGGGACTGTCTGGCATGAACTGTTCAATTAACACCTGATGCAATGAGGCCTGAGAACAGCAGGGAAAAAAGGACCTTCAGGTTTGCTGCAAAACAAAAAAGTCTTACAGCCCATGCCATGCGTGCAGCAGGAGGTCATATCACCAGCACTGCATCACGCTCAGCTTTTTGTTACCTGACCATCACTTTGCATTTCATGTGTCAGGAGACAAAAACCAACGGCATCATCAGCCCTCCCAGGTGGATGCACAACCGCCTATAAAAGATGGGATGTTGTACCCAGCCTAACACAACGCTTACCACATCCACAAGCTGTGATATCTTTAATCCAAAAAGGACTTTGATGGTGTCGTTGGAGTTTTCCACAGGGCGGACCCATTTCTGATAGCCTTGAAATAAGTGCTTGAGGAGGGCGTCCTCATTTTCAGCGACTGAACTGAAGGCAGCCACATCTGGAAGAAAGCAACAGAGAGTAGGGGCATGCCAGAAAGCAGACGTGGAGAATGGCACGACCTGAAGAAGAGAGGCAGAGCGATGACGTAAGAGAAACTTGCCTCTGGGCAGCTTTTGTCTTGTACAGTAAAATCTGTAGGAATTCAGATGCACAGACTCATCAGAGCCAGGGGGAGGGGAGGGGAAGGGAAGACAGCCCAAGCCCAACTCACACACACAAAAAAATCATCAGAACAGAGCAGTGATGACTTCGTACTAGGTTTCTGTTTTCTGTGGCCATTTTGTCTTGAGTCAACATACTTGCCCAGCCTTCCTTGTTTATCATTGTTTAGAAGATCTGCAGGCTCAGAGCATCAGGTGTTCTCTTTCACTCTTGAGTAGTAAATATCCAGCCTGATAAATGCCACCCTGAGAGAGAGTTCTGGTTTCTCAGATGCCTGCAGTGTACCCTAGAGACCTGGGGCCACAGGGAAATCTGGTGGCTGTGGGGCAAACCCTGACTGGCTGACTTGCAGCTAGAAACAGCAGCAATACACTGTGGACAATTTGCACTTGGTCGGTTTCTATGGCCTCTCTGAGACAGAGGCTGCCCTGCACAAGGATCGGGGTGCTGGGATTTCCTTGCTGGAAGCTCCAGGGCCTGTAAGCCAGATCTGAAGGAGCCTCATGCGGCACTTGGAAATTAAACTTCTTTCTGGAGATAACCAGGGGATAGCAGCAAATCGTTGAGAAAGCTGAATTCTCCCAGTCAGGGGGTGGGTTGGGTAGGCAAGAGCATCAGCCGAGCAAAAAGTAAAGGGAGCTCATTTGGCAACAGGAGGAGCTGGATGATGCAGTCAGGGCCAGGTCTGTCTGCAACCAAGCACGGTGCCATCGTGGTCTGTACCTGCAAGACCTGGGACTCCCCTGGTCCCTGCCACCACACTCCTCCTTCCCCCTGCTACCATGAAAGAGAAAGGGCACTTCAGACTCCCCATCCTTTCCCAAGTGCCAGCCCCACTCTCCATGATGCTGAGGTGCTGACACAACCTCCACCTCTTCCCTTGTGTGCACACACAACATTCAAGGATAAGAAGGATTTCACCTGTCTTCAAAGGCACCACAAAGGAAAAAAAATCTCGTGCTGATCGGCTGTGTGCTGTGGGGTCACAGCGAATATTGCTGTGCCATCAGTCAAAGGGGACCTCACAGAGCACTGGTCAGGGCCCACCTTGTCCCCTCACCACCCATGCTCTGCCAGACCCAGTGTGCGCAGGATCCCTGTGCCTGCATTCCCAGACATTAGGTGCAGGGGGTCTGCAGGCAGAGGGTTGTGGCCAAGGGATGGTGCGAGGACCGGGGGCATAGGAGAGCCCTGGCAGGGGATCACAGCTGAGGGGCTCACACACATCATGCAGCAAACATCAGAGGTAAGGCAGCCCACAGCAGGGTCCCTGTGACACAGGGAGAGAGGAAAGCGCATCTGGGCCCAGAAGCCCCTCCACAGAGAAAACTGGAGGCAGAGGGTAACGATCTGCCACGTGCGTGGAGGAAAGGATGTGACCGTAGACCATTATCCCTGTCTGTGCCCTCTTCCCTCAGCAGCTGCTGCCCATCTCCTGGGCAAGACAGGCTGAGCGGGCTCCTCTCCCTCGGCAGGGTCGATGGGAGGCTGTGTGCAGGGGGAGACCCAGCAGGAGGTGGCACAGCTGAAGAACCACCTGAAGCAAAAACCTGCTCCCATACCAGAGCTTCCCACTGGACAAAAATCATTCTCTATTGAAATCTGGGTTCTCTCAGGATAGCACATGGTCCAAGCAGCACTGTCATCCCCCACTTCCAGCCACAGAAAATGCCCACACTTTTTTGAGAAGCTGTAAACTCTGAAGCCTAATGATTGTCACTCACAGGGTAACAATTGCTTTACGGTCAGATGTTCTAGCGTAGGCTGTGCTTGTCCTCTGTTGTTGGACATGCAGTTGTGGTGGGGTTCCCAAACCGTGGGGAGGTGGAGGCCAGCTGTTCAGTGGGAGACTTCACACTCCTTTCCACCTGCTTTGCACCACAGCCAGGGATGGGCTCGTGCAGCTGTCAACACAGTTTATAGCAGCCTCTGCAGCCACCCTGTTCCTTGCCTCTTTGAGGTCTGCTATTACCAACTGAGGAACCACAAATACCCCTTCTGCTTGCTCCAGGGTTTATTCTCACACCAGGGCTAACCCTAGCTCCACCACACCAAATGGGGAACAGAGTCTGGGGTCTGTCCTGGGAAACAGGATTGCTTGCCTAAACATGACAGACAGGCATTGCGTCCACAACCAAAGGACAAGAAATAACATATTTCTCCTCCCTCACTACCCACAACCTCGGTGGTCCAGTTGCCTGACACATAAGAGTCTCTGCAGAGACCCCAGCTCCCAGCCCTTTTGCCTTCTGAACCTTTAGGGTGTTCGTATGGGTACTTGTTGTTAAACACAGGAAATTTAATGGGAAAGCCGTCGAATAGAAAGATTCCATAACCCCAAAACATGCAGAATCAAAACCAGCTTTATCTTAGTGCTGAAATACATTGCTCTGGGTTTATTTCAGTGTAAGTCCCTGTGCACACACACACGTAACCACACCCCGCAGGCACCGTGTCCGTGGCTGTGTATGAGCTCCCTCATAGGAAAATGGTGCCATTTCATAGCCCGTACCTCACATGAAGTCCAAGGGCCCTAACGCTCCAAGAGGGTATAACAGAGAGGCGGTAACGCTGTTTTGGGAGCTGAATGTGTTGATTCTCAGCTGCTGGGGAAGCCACAGAAAAGAGTGAAAAAGAGTTGAGAAGTCTCACAAAGAAGAAAGCCAGAAGGAGCAAGATTGGTGCCCTTATAAGACAGCCTCAGTACTTGCAGCAGAACAGTTTAAAAGCAGAAGTTTTTAATGAGAAGGAAGACATATCAAGCAGAAATAATAGCCTAACAGTTCCTTTGATCAAGCCCCATCTGATCATTAAGTTAGATAAAGCCATGGAGAAAACACTGAACAAAGTAGCACTGCCTTTGGAAAAAACAGAGAAGTGGCGGTAGGACAGAAGCATCCCTGAATTTACCATATGGTGCACAGAGAAGGCAAAATTTGGGAAGCTCCCTGGCAGGTTACCGTGCATACAAGTAGGGAGCATCCTTTGCCATCTCCCCTCTGCCCCAGGCTCCTGTTTCTCTCTGCGGTCGCTGCCAGGAGCAGTTCTCCACAGGCACAGGAGTGCTGGGACAGAGAGTCTGCTAAACAAACCTGCAAAGCACCCTGAGAAATAAAGACAGGACGCTTCGCTTTACATCACCTCACCTGAGGCATTTCGGTTTTCCTCCTGGTGATGGGAGATTCTCCCTTTAGCAGTGAAAGTCGAGCTTAGGGAGTTTTTTGTTAACTTCTACACAGCAACCACACACCCACACACCCACACACCCACCCACACCCATGCACCCACCCACCCACCTACCCCCCGGGTTATTAAAACCTTGTTGCCAAACTGGCTGTGGTTGCAATAAAAAGGCAGCAGCTGATAAAACCCTCTTTTGCTAGTCAGCCGGTGTTAAGAAGAGGACCAAGGGAAGCTGGCATCTACCTTGTCCCAGCAAGCAGCAGCTAACTGGCCAGCAGAAAAAAAAAAAAAAA